GGTAACACCATGTCTTAAAATTGTTCATTATATGCCTTATTATATGCCCTGCAAATTTCGACTCTCTCATTCTGAATTTAAATATAAGGGTCCATCTTATTTCTATTTTCTCTAAGACTTTGTCGTTTCTCACATGTTCAGCCCATGGTATTCTCAACATCCTCCTCCTGTAGAACCACATTTCAGCTTCTTTATGTCTCTTCTTCATCTGTGAGGAGATTTCCAGCATTCACTAGTATATAATAGGGCTGATGCCACGTAACACTTCAGTACTGTTTCTTTGTTTGTAATGACATTTTCCTGTTTCTTAATACTTTGCTTAGGTTTTGAAAGGCATGATTTGCTATCCAAATGCTCATTCGGTTTTTATTGTCGCACTTTTAGTCCTCTGTTCAAACATTTAGCAAATATTTAAATTGTTTTAATTGGTTGATTTTGGTATCCCCAATTTGTAATTTTTATGTCGTTCTGTCCCTTTTGCTAACAACCATCTTCTTCCATCTTCTTGCAATTGATGTTTAGTCTTTTCTTCGCCATTTCCTACACTACCTTCGATAGGAATTCCTACAATTTCCTTTCGGGGCGTGCTATTAATTCTGTGTCATATTCATATATTATATTGTTAAGATTATGACCGATAATAATGAATCCTGTTACGATTTCTAATTCTGTCAAAATCGCCTCACGGTAAAAGTTTCTTAACCAACTTGAAATGACTTCGTGTAACCGTAAGTTCTATGCTAACAGTTTCTTCGCTCGCATTTCTCGCTTGTGGAAACTGGAAGCCAAATATTTTGTGTACTAGAATTTTTGCAACACGCTGACTCGTGATGAAATCCTCACCGTACTTAATATTGTTGAAGTTATCGCTATTAATTTTGTCGAGATTTACAAACTCTACATTTCGTTCTTTTTCGCATACCAATCGAACGAAATTTGAATAAGCTGATTTGTTTGGAAAATACTTTGACAAAAACCCTACTTCGTGGTTTTTACGCACCCTAGTAAAACGTTTGGGATGTCAGTGAATACTCTTTGTCACTTTTGCAATATCAACGAATACTCGTTGTCACTTTCGTAATACTCGTTGTAGTAGACACTTTGTAATCACAGATACAACTATAGTAACGCCGTTAAACAATACTGGCGTCAGACGCCTTCGAATATCACTCACACTAATAGTACTTGCTCGATAGTACTCGCTTGAATAGTAACCACCGAATAGTAATCCGTATAGTGATCAGTATAGAGAAATAGTATAGGGAATGGTATAGAGAATAGTGATCCGTATAGTAATAGGGGATAGTGTAGAAATAGTGATCTGTATAGTAATAGAGGATAGACTAGAGATAGTGATCTGTGTACAAACTCTAATGTCGGCAAGGACACTATATTCCTATATGACAAAAGCCAACTGTACTTTGTACGCAATTACCTGTTTACACTTGTCGCCAACATTTGGTTACGATTGGTCAATATATGGCTATTTTAGAGGGGGTGACCTGTTGCAGTTTTTTTGTGTATATATACTATAACTAGTGAGTTAGTCCAAATGCCTTGACTCACTTTATAGTCTACCAATAGAAGGTTAACCAATCAGAAGGCGAGGACATTCTATCTGTCGTATATAAGGCGGTCATTTTTGTTTACCTACCCGAATGACCAGTGCCAACTTGTCAGGCGAAGATGACAGAAGTACTACGCTCTGCTACGATATCCACTGCTAACCTGAACTACACTTTCCTACTGTCTCCGAAATATTCACTGCTAACCTCTGGATTCTATACTCGAAGACGACCGTCAAAATGTCTAACATGACCGACTAACTGAAGTCGTTGAATATAGAAGGTTTGGTTCTGAGAATTTTTTGTCCTTTTCTTTCCATTATACAAATTTTGTTATTTTTAATGTCTCGTTATGGCTAAGGCAGCCTGATGAAAAATAACTGTTCTGAGGTGATTCGTTTCGATAAAATACGATGAAGCTCTGTTATTTAACTATTTTCACTTTAGTATTTTGTCAATTATTCGCTGGCACTCTCTAGTGTAAACCCCGTCGTTCCGTGTCCGATACGTGGACATTACATTCTACGTACGCGGTATGTGAGAGACTGCCCTGATCATCTCTAGGGTGGCTGTTTATATATTTGTCTGTTCATTATTCTCGGATGTAGGTATGAGATCACGTACTTCTACATTCGGCGGCCGAGAGTAACTTTCCACCTGACTTTCAGGAACGCTCAAATGTGAAATTTGAGTGCAATGTCTATTCCTTCATCATATTATAATAGATCTGCTAAGAACGATGAAACGTTGTAAGATCCTGGACACAAATTTACTGTGGAAGATTTAGAAAAGAGAACCATTGATTGAACTACTTCTTTAAGCAGCGAAGACAATAGAAGAGTATTCAAGAATAGATAACGTTTGACATTGCATTTAAATTATTGAAGATCAAAGTTGTCTGGAAAACAAGAAGCCGGGAGTTCCACAAGCGAGAAATTCGAGAGAAGAAACTGTTAGCATAGAACTTACGGTTACGCGAAGTCATTTCAACTGTAAAATGATGAGAGCTTGCTGCTAATCTTGTAGAAGATCAAAATTGACTTGAAAGCAAGAAGCCAGACGAGAATTACACAAGCGAGAAGTGCGAGAAAAAACTGTTATCATAGACCTTACGGTTACATCTAGCAAATTCAACTGTAAATGGATGAGACTTTCTTACTAATCTATTACTGCACTAAAATTCATACTTCTTTTCTCTAAAATATATATCTATATATACTTGACTTCGATCAACCACGTTACTTAAAATGATTACTTCTCTACTTATTTCATAATTACTCTGAAACAGTGAATTGCTTAGTACGTTACTTAAATGAGAATTTTTTTAAACTTTTAAAAGTGGGTTGAAAATGTGAAATCGAATGCTAAAATCTTGAAATTATGCAATTTTTTTAAAAACTGTATTATGACTTCAGATGCAAATTATATATATATATATATATATATATATATATATATATCTTATGAAATTTAGTCACGTATTGGAGAACACTTTTGTCCTTTCCCAGTTTATCTCGTATCCCCCAGTCCACAAGAACATCCTGTAACCTTCAAATATTTTTTCTTAAAATAACATGTTTTTTTTTGGGGGGGGTGTTGTGGTCTTCGTACACGTTTTTATTATATTAGCAAATGTTCATCTGAAGATGATGAGGGAGCCATTGAATAATTCAGTTAAGAAAAACTTGCTACTGTTTTTATGTACAATGAATCGAACTAAATGAAATTCGAGAATAATGAACAGACAGATATATAAACAGCCACCCTAGAGGTGTTCAGAGCAGTCTCTCTCATACTGTAGGTATAAGATTTTCCGTTCCCATATTCCTCAGGTTATGGCACAAGGTCAATTTTTAATATGGGGACTCGAGTGTTTTTACTCGGGACCGCTGGTCCAAGCTGGTCTTAGCTGGTCATAGCTTGTCCAAGCTGGTCAGACATCGTCTAAGTTAATTATAGCCTTGATACCACCTGGGTCAGCTTTGTAACAGGAAAGTAAACTAAATTAAATGTTTTTAAAATTAAAGTTATCTTTCGTTGATACATAATTCTACTTCTTTATGTGCCGTGTCCATTCAGGACGTAGGCGATCATGGCTCTCCACAACTTCCTGCTCCTTGTAGATCTTAATAAAACTTTATCTTTCTGTTATTTCTCCTAAGCACTGTACCCTGAGTATGACGATAAACTACATCCAGCAGCAAAGACTCTGAGCGGGAGGTCTTGAGGCGGCGTAACCAACTCTTAATTGCTGTTGTTCCCAGTTGCACCCTGACTCGAGTGGGGTGGCGCCTGTTAGGGTTCCAACTATGGGCAAATAGGTAAATCCCAAACTGGGAAAAACACTATGAAAGTATCAAAGATTTTATAGTAAAAATACCAGCAATACATTTTCATAGCAAAAGAATTACCAGCAATATATTCTTTAAAAATTATAACTGCAATATATTTTTGTAAAAGAAAATACTGATGATCCCAATAAAATTAAATTTCGGCATTAAATGACCCATAAGGTGTTGATATGCCACCGAACAAACAAACGCTGTCCTTCTTTCCTTCTGTCTATCATGTAAGTATCATTCTGTCTCTTCCTGATGTGAAGTATTAGTTTTCTTTTTTCTATTTTCTTTAAAACTTCGTCGTTGCTTACATGTTCGGTCCACGGTATCCTCAGCATCATTCTGTAGAACCACATTTCCTTTGCTTCAAGTCTCTTCTTTAAGGAAGTCGTCCAGTTCTCGCTGTCATACAGGACAGATATCACTTAACAGTTTAGTATTCTTTTCCTTGTTTCTAGCGAAGTTTTTTCTGTCTCTTAATACTCTGTTTGGATTTTGGAAGGCATCTTTGTCTATCCCAATACGCCTTCGGATTTCACTGTCACAATTTCTGTCCCCTCTGTTGAAACACTTCCCGCATTTGCTCGATTTTGATATCTCCGTTTTGCAGTTTGCATCTTGGCCTCTTTCTTTCGCTAACAACCATGCATTCTGTCCTCTTGCAGTTGGCCCTTTCTTCTCTAGGAGATAAGCTATTAAAAAACCTTAGAAAACAGCCTTAGTTGGTGATAATATAAGTGACAGACGGCTACAAAAAAATCATTGTTCATTATCTATGTCTAATTTGTTTAAATAACTGACTATTCTTTTCGTCAAACATAATTCACTTCTCAGTCGTAATGGTCAATCAGACGCTTCTCGTTAACCCTTAGGCTAAATTATTATTCAATTATTATTCAAGGCCACGAAATAATAATGATTTTAGTAATAGAAGTTTTACTAATTAACCTATAGCTGGGGGACAACAGGTGGATTCCTACCTTTCCCAAAGGTATCTGCGCGTAAGGGAATATAATGAACCCAACTGGAAAACGAACGCGGCTCTACGATCAACAATTCCGATCCATTATCCATTACACCATCCGCACATCCAAGCTTCCAGCACTTGATATTCCCAAATGGTCACCCATCTAAATAATGACCAGGCTCGACGTTGTTTAACTTCGGTGATCTTATGAGAACCGGGGTTCCAATTTCAAACTGATGTTGCCGTAATCATCGTGTAATGGTTAACAAGTTTGTCTCACTAGATCTATTACGACTGAGTGGTGAGTTCGAGTCTCACTGAGGGCTCCATATATTTAGCCTTGTGCCAGATCTAAGCAACCCTTAGTAAATCGCTATAAATCGACCCAGTTTTTACGGGACACCAACAACGAACTGCACAACGTATTTTATGTCATTTAAAAATAAAAAGATCTCAGAGAATCCATCCATCTTTTTAAACTGTCGCTTGGGGACGCGTTGAGCGCCATAGGGAAAATATTTTACAATGGAACGAGGCAAATTTCGACAAAATATTCTAGACTTCCATTCAACTATTTCTTCAAATCAATTAGAATAAAATATATTAGTCTTTTTGAAACAGGAGAATATTTTTTTCATGCCTGAAGCGACCAGTTGCTTCTCGTATTTCCCATCTTGCATGAACTCCAACTTCAGAAATGGTTAACGGTGGGCATTTCGATAAGGTATAATGCTTAAAAAGTTTATCTCACTGGATCAATTATGACTGAACAGTTTGTTTTTCAGTTGGCGTTCCATACATTCAACACTGTGCCACAACGAAGCTACGCTTAGAAAACCATTGGAATTTTGCTCTCCTATTTACAATTCAGAGCCATTAGCTATTTCACCAGTTGCACATCCAGGCTTACAAAACCCGCTATACCCAAGCGGTCACTCATCTAGGTACTGACCAGGGCCGGCGTGGCTTAACTTCTTGGACCATACGAAACAGGAGTTTCAATGTGATATGACAACAAGCATATACCACTTGCATATCTGTTAAAACTTGACTAATGCATGGAATAATAATGCAACACAAAATGTACTTAGAACAAAATGTATTGAAACAAGAAAGTGTACACAATATTTACATATAGTCTTTTGTATATTCCTGGTAAGACCGTTCCTGGAGAATGTGTTAACTGAGTCGCAGTCGGGCAGAGTCTCTGGTTGAATCTCTTGATTCCTCCCCTCGTCTTCCCAGTACCAACCACATTTATATGGTCGGTACTCCACTATGCAAATTAGGTGGATCCTACCACAACAATATCCAAGCATACAAAACTGTATTCCCAAGCAGTCACCCATCTGGATACTAGCCAGGCTCAACGTTCCTTAATTTCGATGATCGTACGACGTTTCAGTGTGGTATAGACGCAAGATCATTATACCACTCATACATCCAAGCCAATGGTATTCCCAGGCGGTCATCCATCTAGTTACTGACCTGTGACGTCGTTGCTTAACTTCTGTGACCATACAAAACCTATGTTTCAGTGTGATATGTAACTCCAATATGCCACTCAAACATCCAAGCTTACAGAACCTGGTATTCCACAGCGGTCACCCATTTAGGTACTGGCCAGGCTCGACATTGCTTAATTTCGGTGTTCGTACGGTGTTTCAACGTGATATGGCCGGAAGCCCATTATACAAACCTTTCAAACATCAAGCCTACATTCCTAGTTCAATGAATCGGTCACCCATCTAGTGACTGACTATTTAAACGACGTTGCTTAACTGGAATTGACCATACATAGAAATGTTTCAATGTTTTATATATATATATATATATATTTGTGTGTGTGTGTGTGTGTGTGTGTGTGTGTGTGTGTGTGTGTATTTAAAATGCAGCAATCCTTTTTTTTAAATATTTCATTGAATACGACAGACAATGTGCTTTTATTTAGTTTTTATACAATTTCTCATGCGATCTAATAATTTTTTCTTTTCGGATGATAAATTATATAAAATTGTTAAAAAATGAAAATATTTTATAAAACATACACGCAACAAACTATTTTTTTTAACAGTTAAATTATGTAATCCTTGAAAATGGCTAAATGTATAGCCGAAAGCGCTCAGATAAAAAGAATATTCGGACAGTTTTATAGAATTTATCATCCGAAAAGAAAAAAAATATTATTAGATCTCATGAGAAATTGTATAAAAAAACTAAATGAAAGCAGCTTGTCCGTCTTATTCAATGAAATATATATATATATATATATATATATATATATATATATATATATATATGTAAAAAAATATACTTCAAAAAAACAAACAAAAATACTAATATGCAATTATGCTGTGTTAATGTTAATATAATGTCAACGTTGGACGTTTCGGTCTAGTCGACCATCTTCAGGACATTTTCATAGGATATAATTAACATTAGACTATCTTCAATTCAACATGAAAAGACGATGGACATAAGAGTAAGACTAATCAAAACAGATAACTGAAATTTTTCAAGATCAGCGTTCCGTTTCAATATGATCACGTCGGCATCACGTGGGCGATGTTGTGAAAACGTATTTCTAAAATAGAGTATTTTGAATGAAACATGAAAAAAAGAATTTTATTTTAATCTAAAACTTATATGTACGTTTGTCGCGCATTAATCTTGCTAGAAAAGGGTAAATATTAAAGAACCACTTGGGTCTAGTATTCACCGTGCGTGAGATATAATATTATTATGCCTCATAAATCCGTCTAAGATTTTTTATTATGAATATATTTTAAAATCTTTCAGAATAAAAATATATTCATAATAAAAATTTTAAACATATTTATATATATATATATATATATATATATATATATATATATATATATATATATATATATATAATTTTACATTGGATTTAAACATGTATCAATATGATGATTTTCCTTTCGGCTTTCAATGATAATGTTATTAAGTTTATCAGACAATATGAAAGGAACTTATTTAAAATAAATAGACAAAAATTATCTATATTATTTAATGAAACATGCATTAATGAAAAATTGCTGCCTAAATATTTTTTACAATATATATATATATATATATATATATATATATATATATATATATATATATATATATATATTATTACATTATAGATCTTGGGTTCCCCGGTTTCTCGAATATGCGGCACTAACGTACGTATTTTAAATGTAGAAATAATATCATATTTCTAACTGTTGATGTTCGAGCATTGGTGAAGGCCAGATTTTTAAATTCTGATTTAAAACTCGGTGAGGTCCTCTGCGAACTTTAAGAATGACAGATTAGAGTCTTTCTCGATTTATACAGAAAAGGAAAGAAAGAGGTTATATAATTTTCTGTGAGAGATATTAAACAATCCATACACAATAGGCTGATATCATATCACCACTATCTTCCTTCTCAAGTGGACCGGGGTAGCGTCGGGGTGGGTGGCTGTCTCTGGGGTCAATGAAGACGTGAGGTATGTTTGTTCAATAGTCGAATATTTATTGCTACAGATGGCCTCCGCTATACAATCGTTGTTGCTTCTTCATTATATTCCAGACACGGCAATAAACACTAAGCAAGAGGGGAGGGGTAACTGGTGATAACTAGAATCCGTGTTTCAAAATAAACGTGTGCGAGGCCAACTCAAGGGCTGAAAAAACATCCAACGAGTGGGATGCACCTTTTTCTTAGAAAAGAAGTACAATCGACTCCAAATACGTAAAAAAAGTTCTGCATATATATATATATATATATATATATATATATATATATATATATATATATATAATTTTTTCAAAATAAAAGAATTTTGATATATATATGCCAAATGGATTTTCCAACCGTCTGCGTTTGGATTTTATTGTTTGTTTTATTTATTTGTTCTGTAATAATAAATACATTGAGCTCTTTTTTGAATCAGTTTTAATATTTTATATTACTAGGATCCACTTGGTTTATATACCAACGGTTTGATTACCTTGACTCTCTCTCTCTCTCTCTCTCTTTCTTTCTTTTGTTTATATATAATATATATATATATATATATATATATATATATATATATATATATATATATACACAATGCATTAAGAATTGGAGAAAGTCCGTTTTTTATTAAATACATTTTATGTTTAACATTCTTTTATAGATACAAGTATTTGTCAAAGGACGAATATTTTTCTGAAAAATTTCTCGCACATTCAGGCCGGAAAATGTTATTTAATACTGTTCATTATTTTAAACATACATTTACTTAAATACTTGTATATATATAAAAGAATGTTAAAAATCTTTTATATATATATATATATATATATATATATATATATATATATATATATATATAGGTAACTTTGTTTTCGAATTAAATTCGAATTTTTGATTTGCCAATAATCAAATCAATCCTGAGGGAAAAAAGGTTTTAAAAAAGAAAGAGCTAGAAACATGAAAGTCTGTAAAAAAAAATCGCACAGATACAGGTTTGAAGCCCAAAGAAAAAAACCTTGACACGAGTAAAAAAAAACATATATATATATATATATATATATATATATATATATATATATATATATATATATGGATAAGTATATTTCATTTCTGAACAAAGGGGGGTCCCCGTTGGGCATAAAAAACTGAAAATTTGAATTTAAATTTTTCTTACCTGAAATGACTCCTATGTTACTAGGAAAAGTATATTACATTTTGAATAAAGGGTGTCCTCGGTGGTGTACAAATTACGCTACTGATTTTTCCCCCCTTCGATTTAAATTAAATTTAAATTTGAACAAGGGAATGATTCCTATCCAAAATATAGAAGGAGAAAGCCAGAAGATGGAGGTCACATCGGCAAGATCAAAATGAGACAATATTAAAATGCATCATTTTTTTTCCACAATTTATAACAATGATTTAAAATCAATTATCATTTTCTGACAAAAAAAAAAGACACAGGTAATCTAATTTTGATACTGTTTTGATATATGCATTGCTGGTATATTTTCAAAAATATATTACTTGCAATTCTTTTACAAAAAATTATTCCTGGTTGGTTCTATCTTTATACATACATACATACATACATACATATCCAAATATCCAAATACACATATATATATATTATATATATATATATCATATATATATTTATATATATATATATATATATATATATATATATATATATATGGATATATGAATGTATTTTAAAAAAAAATATTTC